TATCCTACGTGTTAATCTGAAATGTATCCTACGTGTTAATCTGAGATGTATCCTACGTGTTAAACTGAGATGTATCCTACGAGTTAATCTGAGATGTATCCTACTTGTTAAACTGAGATGTATCCTACGAGTTAATCTGAGATGTATCCTATGTGTTCAACTGAGATGTATCCTACGTGTTCAACTGAGATGTATCCTACGTGTTAATCTGAGATGTATTCTACGTATTAATGTGAGATGTATCCTACGTGTTCAACTGAGATGTATCCTACGAGTTAATCTGAGATGTATCCTACGTGTTAATCTGAGATGTATCCTACGTGTTAATGTGAGATGTATCCTACGTGATAATCTGAGATGTATCCTACGTGTTAATCTGAGATGTATCCTACGTGTTAATCTGAGATGTATCCTACGTGTTAATCTGAGATGTATCCTACGTGTTAATCTGAGATGTATCTTACGTGTTAATCTGAGATGTATCCTACGTGTTAATCTGAGATGTATCCTACGTGTTCAACTGAGATGTATCCTACGTGTTAATCTGAGATGTATCCTACGTGTTAATCTGAGATGTATCCTACGAGTTAATCTGAGATGTATCCTACGTGTTAATCTGAGATGTATCCTACGAGTTAATCTGAGATGTATCCTACGTGTTCAACTGAGATGTATCCTACGTGTTCAACTGAGATGTATCCTACGTGTTAATCTGAGATGTATCCTACGTGTTAATCTGAGATGTATCTTACGTGTTAATCTGACATGTATCGAATCTCACGGGATTCATCCACGTGAAAGATTAATCCTCGGGTTTGCAGCGGCGACTTGAGTCTAGGTTAACTATGTCAGTCTCCATTTATCCTGGAAAAAATCCGATGAGCTCTGAAGCTCTTCTTTCCCACAGACGTCGCGGCAAAACACCACCACCCTCGTTACAATCAATAGTTCCGTCATAAATCTTCAATCACCATCTATCAAAATCATCAGCAAGACGTAGACTGTTGGGGTGAAGGCGGCACGGCACACGAGGGGGTGGGTGACCAACGCCACGCCGGGCCGCCTTTGTCTCCCCCAGTGGCGATGTTTTACGCATCGCATCGGGTACTCATTCGAGGCTGAGGCGACCTAGGGGAGGCCCAGGAACGGTTCAGATCATTGTCACCGGTGTTTTTGGTCGTTAGTGGGAAACGAACTCGGACCGCGCGGTTTGTAGCCCAGCGGAGCTAACCACGACTCCACCACTCCTCTTACCACCTCACACATAGTCACGATCCATCCTACACAGTCACTACACACGTCACATGCATACATCTACACACAGTCACTACCCTCCTCACACACACACAGTCACTACCCCCCTCACACACACACAGTCACTATCCCCGCTCACACACACACAGTTAGCACCCCCCTCACACACACGCAGTCACTACCCCCCTCACACACACACAGTCACTACCCCCCCCTCACACACACGCAGTCACTACCCCCCCCTCACACACACACAGTCACTACCCCCCCCCTCACACACACGCAGTCACTACGCCCTTCATATACACACAGTCACTACCCTCCTTCACACAAACACGCAGTCACTACCCCCTTCACACACACACACAGTCACTACCCCTCCTCACACACACCCAGTCACTAACCCCCCCTCACACAGTCACTACCCCCCCTCACACACACACAGTCACTACCCACTCACACACACACAGTCACTACCCACTCACACACACACAGAGTCACTACCTCCCTCACACAGACACAATCACTACCCCCCCTCACACACAAACACAGTCACTACCACTCACACACACACAGTCACTACCCTCCTCACACACACACACAGTCACTAACCCCCCTCACACACACACAGTCACTACCCCCCTCACACACACACAATCACTACCCCCCTCACACACACACAGTCACTACCCCCTTCACACACACACACACAGTCACTACCCCCCTCACACACACACAGTCACTACCCCCCTCACACACACACAGTCACTACCCCCCCTCACACACACACAGTCACTACCCCCTTCACACACACACACAGTCACTACCCCCTTCACACACACACTGTCACTACCCCCCTCACACACACAAAGTCACTACCCCCGCTCACACACACACAGTCACTACCCCCCTCACACACACACAGTCACTACCCCTCACACACACACAGTCACTACCCCCCTCACACACACACAGTCACTACCCCTCACACACACAGTCACTACCCCCCTCACACACACACAGTCACTACCCCTCACACACACAGTCACTACCCCTCACACACACACACACAGTCACTACCCCCCCTCACACACACAGTCACTACCCCTCACACACACAGTCACTACCCCTCACACACACACACACAGTCACTACCCCCCCTCACACACACACACAGTCACTACCCCCCTCACACACACACAGTCACTACCCCACTCACACACACACAGTCACTACCCCCCTCACACACACACAGTCACTACACCCCCCCTCACACACACACAGTCACTACCCCCCTCACACACACACAGTCACTACCCCCCTCACACACACACAGTCACTACCCCCCTCACACACACACAGTCACTACCCCCCTCACACACACACAGTCACTACCCGCCTCACACACACACAGTCACTACCCCTCACACACACACACAGTCACTACCCCCCTCACACACACACAGTCACTACCCCTCACACACACAGTCACTACCCCCCTCACACACACACAGTCACTACCCCTCACACACACAGTCACTACCCCTCACACACACACACAGTCACTACCCCCCCTCACACACACAGTCACTACCCCTCACACACACAGTCACTACCCCTCACACACACACACACAGTCACTACCCCCCTCACACACACACAGTCACTACCCCCCCCCTCACACACACAGTCACTACCCCTCACACACACAGTCACTACCCCCCTCACACACACACAGTCACTACCCCCCTCACACACACACAGTCACTACCCCTCACACACACAGTCACTACCCCTCACACACACAGTCACTACCCCCCTCACACACACACAGTCACTACCCCCTCACACACACAGTCACTACCCCCCTCACACACACACAGTCACTACCCCTCACACACACACAGTCACTACCCCTCACACACACACAGTCACTACCCCTCACACACACACAGTCACTACCCCCTCCACACACACAGTCACTACCCCCCCCCCTCACACACACACAGTCACTACCCCTCACACACACACAGTCACTACCCCCCTCACACACACAGTCACTACCCCCCTCACACACACAGTCACTACCCCTCACACACACACAGTCACTACCCCTCACACACACACAGTCACTACCCCTCACACACACACAGTCACTACCCCCTCACACACACAGTCACTACCCCCCCCCTCACACACACACAGTCACTACCCCTCACACACACACAGTCACTACCCCCCTCACACACACACAGTCACTACCCCTCACACACACACAGTCACTACCCCCCTCACACACACAGTCACTACCCCTCACACACACACAGTCACTACCCCTCACACACACAGTCACTACCCCTCACACACACACAGTCACTACCCCCCTCACACACACACAGTCACTACCCCTCACACACACACAGTCACTACCCCTCACACACACACACAGTCACTACCCCCTCACACACACAGTCACTACCCCCCCCCTCACACACACACAGTCACTACCCCTCACACACACACAGTCACTACCCCCACACACACACACAGACACTACCCCACACACACACACAGTCACTACCCCCCCTCCACACACACAGTCACTACCCCTCACACACACACAGTCACTACCCCTCACACACACAGTCACTACCCCTCACACACACACAGTCACTACCCCCCCTCACACACACAGTCACTACCCCTCACACACACACAGTCACTACCCCTCACACACACACACAGTCACTACCCCCTCACACACACAGTCACTACCCCCCCCCCTCACACACACACAGTCACTACCCCTCACACACACACAGTCACTACCCCTCACACACACACACAGTCACTACCCCCTCACACACACAGTCACTACCCCCCCCCCTCACACACACACAGTCACTACCCCTCACACACACACAGTCACTACCCCTCACACACACACAGTCACTACCCCTCACACACACACAGTCACTACCCCCCTCACACACACAGTCACTACCCCTCACACACACACAGTCACTACCCCTCACACACACAGTCACTACCCCTCACACACACACAGTCACTACCCCTCACACACACACAGTCACTACCCCTCACACACACACAGTCACTACCCCTCACACACACACACAGTCACTACCCCCTCACACACACAGTCACTACCCCCCCCCTCACACACACACAGTCACTACCCCACACACACACACAGTCACTACCCCTCACACACACACACAGTCACTACCCCCTCACACACACAGTCACTACCCCCCCCCTCACACACACACAGTCACTACCCCTCACACACACACAGTCACTACCCCCCTCACACACACACAGTCACTACCCCTCACACACACACAGTCACTACCCCCCTCACACACACAGTCACTACCCCTCACACACACACAGTCACTACCCCTCACACACACAGTCACTACCCCTCACACACACACAGTCACTACCCCTCACACACACACACAGTCACTACCCCTCACACACACACAGTCACTACCCCCTCACACACACACAGTCACTACCCCTCACACACACACACAGTCACTACCCCCCTCACACACACAGTCACTACCCCCCTCACACACACAGTCACTACCCCCCTCACACACACACAGTCACTACCCCCACCCCCCACACACCCACCGAGAGTCTCTCCCCACGCGCGCCGCACGACGCGCTGACAAAGTAAATAAATAAATAACCGCCCCCACAAACTCGTTCACCTTTCTTGGGCTCTCGGCTGCCGCTCGCCTCCCGCTTGATGCCCCCTCCCCTCCGCGAGGGGCGGGGCCGCGAGGCGGGTGGTGGGAGGGGGCTGCCCCCACCGCTGCTGCTGCTGCTGGTGGTGGAGGAGGAGGAGGAGGTGGTGGTGGTGGTCGTGGTGGTGGTGGAGACCGGGTTGGGCAGGATGCCGAGGCGGGAGGGAGTGTTGGAGAGAACGTCTTGTCTCTTCGGGTCACGGTGACCCAGTATCATGGCTTCGGGGTCCTCCTGCCGCTACGGCTCCTCCCTCCTCCCAGTGCTCTCCACACTTTGCTGCTGCTGCTGCGGTTGATGATGCTGATAATGATTGATCCGCCACACACACACAGGCAAAGCACGCCGGCTGTAATCTCATTCACACCGGCAGCAGTCACTGTGGAGAACACCACCGCTACCACACCACCACGAGCCACCGCTACCACACCATACACCCAACACTACTACAGCGATACTGTGGTAGCCATCACCACTACCACACCATCACTACTACACTACCACCACTACTACACTACCACCACGACCACACCACCACTACCACACCATCACTACTACACTACCACCACTACTACACTGCCACCACTACCACACCATCACTACTACACTACCACCACGACCACACCACCACTACCACACCATCACTACTACACTACCACCACGACCATAAACACGACACCACCACTACCACATAACTCCCAGCTAAAACACCATCACACTCTTACCAGAAAGATCCACATTAACCCAATACGACTACACACACCACCTACGCAAAAATCGCTACCACTACTGTATAGACCACACTGCCACCCGATACAACACCACCACACGCACACAATTACACCATCACCACTCACAACCCAAATGCTGCCACCACTATCGAATCCATTACCACCACGACCACCTTCGCCGCCACTAACAGCACCTACGCTGCCATCAACCCCACCATCACTGCCCACGTCACCCAGAACACCACTCAACACAGTTACTACACCACCATCACCTCGTACTCCACGATTACCCACACCAGTAACCTGCACAAACACCTATACTATCTACTTACGCTACCATTACGCCGCACACACCACTGGTATTCCCCCTAAAAGACAAAGGTCCCCCGTGTAGCCTACACATACTCCTGGGGGCAAGTGCTGGGTGGGGTGTGTGCAGCAAGGTTGGGGGAGGAGGCCCGATAGTGGAGAGCGACGTTCATGGAGCAGTCTCCACGGCCCGGTGACAGATGGGGTGAGGGCAGATCTATGGATCTCTGTGTGAGTCTATGGGTGTCTCTGTGTGAGTCTATGGGTCTCTGTGTGAGTCTATGGGTCTCTGTGTGAGTCTATGGGTGTCTCTGTGTGAGTATATGGGTCTCTGTGTGAGTCTGTGGGTCTCTGTGTGAGTCTATGGGTGTCTCTGTGTGAGTCTATGGGTCTCTGTGTGAATCTATGGGTGTCTCTGTGTGAGTCTATGGGTCTCTGTGTGAGTCTATGGGTCTCTGTGTGAGTCTATGGGTGTCTCTGTGAATCTGTGGGTCTCTGTGTGAGTCTATGGGTGTCTCTGCGAGTCTGTGGGTCTCTGTGTGAGTCTATGAGTCTCTGTGTGAGTCTATGGGTCTCTGTGTGAGTCTGTGGGTCTCTGTGTGAGTCTATGGGTGTCTCTGTGAATCTGTGGGTCTCTGTGTGAGTCTATGGGTGTCTCTGTGAATCTGTGGGTCTCTGTGTGAGTCTATGGGTGTCTCTGTGAATCTGTGGGTCTCTGTGAGTCTATGGGTGTCTCTGTGAATCTGTGGGTCTCTGTGTGAGTCTACGGGTGTCTCTGCGAATCTGTGGGTCTCTGTGTGAGTCTATGGGTGTCTCTGTGAATCTGTGGGTCTCTGTATGAGTCTATGGGTGTCTCTGTGAATCTGTGGGTCTCTGTGTGAGTCTATGGGTGTCTCTGTGAATCTGTGGGTCTCTGTGTGAGTCTATGGGTGTCTCTGTGAATCTGTGGGTCTCTGTGTGAGTCTATTGGTGTCTCTGTGAATCTGTGGGTCTCTGTGTGAGTCTATGGGTGTATCTGTGAATCAGTGGGTCTCTGTGTGAGTCTATGGGTGTCTCTGTGAATCTGTGGGTCTCTGTGTGAGTCTATGGGTGTCTCTGCAAGTCTGTGGGTCTCTGTGTGAGTCTATGGGTCTTTGCAAACCTGTGGATCTCACTGAGAGTATGGCTCTCTCTGAGAATGTGTGAGCCTATGGGTCTACGTGAGAGTCCATGCTCTCCGTGTAAGTCTGTGGGTCTCTTTGAGAGTCTATGGGTCCCTATGTGAGTCCATTGGTTTCTGTGTGAGCCTGTGGGTCTCTGTGCGAGTCTAATAGCAGATGGGCGCGGACAGACCTCTATGGGTCTCTGCGGGCAGCATGTCCAGCACCTCGCCCGGCCACCTTTGTCTCCTCGGCGCCGAAGTTGATCACGGTGCACCGGGCACTCATTTAAGGCCGAGTCGACATAACGGGAGGGCCCAGGAGCACGCTGAAGGTCACCGATGTTGGCCCTGAGCGGGATAGCAGGGCAGTCGAGGGGGGAGTGCGCAGAGCTGCTGGGTTGGGGAACCTAGGTTCAATTCTAACATCACTGCCGCGGCCACATCACACACCACAAGTCACACAACACAGGCACACGGCACACTGCCAGACATCTTGAGGTCTTCACGAGATGTCCCCCCGCAAGCGTGTAACAAGAACTTCTGTCCGTCTCTCTCTCGGATTATTCTCCCCCTGGCCCCGTTTGTGCCTCTTCTTCTTGCGCCTCCTCCTCTTCTTTCTGGTTTTCGGCGCGTGTCGTATGTTGGTCGTGATGATGGTGCTGCCGATGGCGGTGCTGTTGGTGACGATGCCTCGCTGCGTATGGTCGTCAGTGTGATCCCGGGTCTCCGTGCTCCGCTCGTCCTCCGCTGTACCTCCGTGGCATCATTCTGGAGGGCACACAAGAACCCACTGACGCGGTGATCATGATTATGATCACGATGATGCGATCGTGATGAAGATGACGGTTTAAGACCAGATCGGGGGAGACTGTCATGGCAGATCTATGGGTCTCTGTGTGAGCCTATGGGTCTCTGTGTGAGTCTATGGATGCCTCTGTGAGTCTATGGGTTTCTGTGTGAGTGAGTCTGCGGGCCTCTGTGAGTCTATAGATCTCTATGTGAGTCTCTGGATGAGTCTGTGGGTCTCTGAGTCTGCGCGTCTCTGTACAAGTCTGTGGGTCTCTTAGTCTTTAGATCTCTGTGTGAGTCTAGAGGTCTATATGCGAACCTATGGGTCTGTGTGAGAGAGTCTATGGGTCTCTGTGTGTGAGTCTATGGATCTCTGTGTGAGTCTATGGGTCTCTGTCTGAGTTTATCTAAGGGCAGAGGTAAGTGACTCTATGCGTGTCTCTATTGTGCGGCAGCTGCAAGATCTGGCGGAGGGGAGAATGCGTTGGCAGTGAGCAGGTGTGGCAGTGTTGATATTTACACACTGGGTATTCATTTATGGCTGAATCGACCCAGGGCAAGTGTAGGACCGCTTCGCATTTTCACCACTGATGTTAGCCATGAGCAGGAATCAAAATCGGGTGGCTTGGTTTGTAGGGCAGCGCGTAACCACTGCACCACCGCTCCCACATACTCACACACCCACACAATAATACACCCACACCCCCAAACACCCATATACCCATACACCCACACACAGAGGCGGGCCGTTAGGGCCAGCAAGGCCTTCTCTGCTGGCCGAGAATGCCAGAATCAGAAAATGTTATTTGTATTATTCAATATATTTTCATTAATGCTATATGTATTTTACGAAGTTCGTTCCCATTAGTCTATTAACGTCATATCATTGCTACTCTCTCCTTCAGTTGCGCTGCTTCCAGTGCAGCCCATATAAAGTAGAGCTTTTATCCAATCAGATTTTCCACCTGTGGTGTCTCCGCCTCTCCGGGCAAAAAAAAAATCTACCCTGAGGCCTTCAGAATGTCGAGTGAATCCCCTCTGCTGTTGAAGCAAATGGAGACGATGTTGTTGATTGTCATATTCTTTAACCAATCAGATGTCGAGATTGCCATGGTGGGCGTGTCCTTTGACGCGCCGGCACCTTCTAGCTGGTCTAGCCGCCTACGTCAGCATTGTTCATGTGGCGTGATCGGAGGGCCAGTTAGCTAACTGAAGTAAAACTAGCTAGCACGTAACGTAGCATCATCCAAGATGTATTTAAACTTTCTTTCGTGATGTTTAGATTTTTAAATGTAGTGCTTTAGATCTTTTTTTTCTCTGTGGGGAAGCCTGTTGAATCCTGATTGTATTATTTGTGTTTTACGACATTTTTGCTTGCTTGGTGGTCGTATGAGTAAATGTGACTGGTTGTTGTTAGTTTGTTCTTATTTATTTGGTAATGGCATTGATTTGGGCTATGCGATGTCTATGTGTGATGCAGCATCCTGTAATACCGCGTAATAGTGGTACATCCTTGATGGTTTCAGTCACCATGTATTCATGTCTCTGCGATTAGTGTATTGTAACTCTCATAGGTGTTGAGTCTCGTGTTAAATCACTTTCTTCCACTCGATAAAGGTCACTGTCACTGTGAATGTGGGGTGGTTACGTCGAATGACAACAGCCTGTAGCCCCTAGTGTCACGGTGAGGTTATTCGAAGGCGGTTTAATTGCGGGAGGATAGTACTGAAGGCCTAGGTGTAAAATACACGGCCTGCCACTGCCCACACACCAACACACCTCCTCCACACACCCTCACACCTCCACACACCAATACACATACAAAAAAAGATCCCCCCCATAACTTGAACCGACTGTTGGGGCGAGTGCCGTTAGCGAGCAGCACCTGTGAAGGCCGGCACGGCACGCGAGGGGGTGGGTGGCCAACACCACGCCCGGCCGCCTTTGTCTCCCCGGTGGTAATGTTTACAAAACCGCACCAAGTACTCATTTGAGGCTGAGTCGACCGAGGAGAGGCCTAGGATTGGTTCAGGTAATCGTCACTGGGTGTTGCCCGTGAGCGGGAATCGAACTCGGGTGGCCGGGTTCGTAGTGCAGTGCACTCATCGCTACACTACCGCACACCGATACACCTCCACACCAATACACCTCCACACATCCACAAACCTTCACACACCAATACGCCCACACACCAATACACCTCCACACATCCCCAAACCTTCACACACCAATACACCCACACACCAATACACCTCCACACATCCACAAACCTTCACACACCAATACACCCACACACCAATACACCTCCACACATCCCCAAACCTTCACACACCGATACACCCACACACCAATACACCTCCACACATCCATAAACCTTCACACACCAATACACCCACACACCAATACACTTCCACACATCCCCAAACCTTCACACACCAATACAACAACAACAACAACAACAACCGCCATTCACCACTAAGTGGCTGTGACGTCACCACGACGCTTGTGCCAGGCTATGTGCACCCTGAGGCCACGTGAAGTGTCGAACGCCCGCTGACAGGAGGTCAC